AGCCTTATATGGTGTTTTTGGGGTGGTAATTATGCTAATCTCCTCTCGCGTGCACGAGCAGCTGGTTATGAACAGGTGGAAATTACGCAGCTCATTTACACACTTTTCCTGAAGATAGAAGAGTTTGTTGAATCTGACGTGACATGTTCGTATGAACCCTTTGTACGAACAAAAGTAGGAGAAATTTAGGGTAAGAATACGAACATGTTCTTGCATGAGGCTGAATGTTTCTGGGACTGTACGGATCGTGCAGCCTCACAGGATTTCCTGAGAAATGGATTAGTTAAAACTTTACTCCACCATCCAGGAAGTGTCCCCTGGATGACCTGGAGGTGCTACAGCTAGCCTGTAAATAACAACAGAATTCCATAGAAAAAATGTTTGAAGATTTTTGTGTGTATTTCCTGCGGCTTGTATGAATCACTGAGAAGGTTTTCAGTCTGGAGTTGTTAAAGCTGGCAGCAAGCATTAGCTCATCATTCAAATAGCTTCTACAACAGGTAAGATATTTATTACTTATGACTAGAGAAACAGTTGTAGGAAAGTGTTCAAAAATTGTAAAACCAGAATAATGTGCAACAAACCCAATCCAGTTCTCAGTTAAATATTTATTCTCAGATTTATAACTACATTTCATCCTCAGAGCCAGTGTCTGTGGCTCAGACTAATCAAAACAAAATGACTTCTAATGTCTGTTTCTGCTTACCTGTCCTTCCAAAACCATAATATTTATAGAAGACTCTGGTCAGCATTACAAGGAGTCATGTGTGAGTGACTAGAGACACATTGACTGTAAATGATTACAACTGATCACAAAATAAAAGATATAAAGCTAACATTATAAAATTCAGTTAATTAGTCACGAAATACCTTTCATAATAATGATCCTAAATGTTTATCTGCATTCACACTGCAGGCAAATGCAATCCATATCTGATTTTTCTAATCAGACCCATGTCTTTTCAGTAAGTGGTACCAAATCAGACGCATATCTGATGTTGTTGAAAGCAAACCTCAGTCTGAACGCTTGTGTCACTTTTCATATGACTTCTACTTCAGTGAGGTGTGGGTGAGCGGATCGGTCCAATAATTATCATAACTTTGGCTCATGCTGTTTAAATCAGCGACACACTGCTTCAGCTACAGAACAGAAGTCAAGTTGCTTTGTTTTTGTTAGAATTTTCCGTGTCCTGGATGACTGAAAATCCAGATAATAACATTGGTCTTGGATCAAATCGATCCTTAAGTTACTTCCAGCATGTCACATTGTTCCATAAATACATGTTGCTCTGGAGCATTCATTTACAAAATGTAAACAAAGCTGAGCATTAAGACCTGCAGTTTAAATGGAGCCTCAGTTAACCTGGAGAAATGTTTAATCAAACATTAGTAAAACTGACTAGCTGTGTACACATTTAGGCTACAAATGCATCCCAACAGAGTAATTATTGCTCTGAAAGATTCTACAGTCGTGTCACATAAATGAGGGCATCCCACTGCACTCGTAGTTAAATGTGTGTCCCTTAGTTCTTTTAATAAAGTCAAAATGCCCATCAGGATCAAATTCTGTCCACCATCAAACTAAAAACAGAACAATTGACCTGGTTTGAGTTTTTTATTTCAGTTCTGTTGATTCGACATTTTTCTGTGTATAACTCCATCACATCATGTTATAAAACATGTTGATTTCCTGTTTGCTTTAGAACAGTTTTGCATGAAATCACAAGCTATTATTTCTTCATCGTTCTTTTTTGTTTTTCTCATGTTTTTTTTCTCTTTGTTTTCTTTTTTTCTGTGTTTTCTGTATTTTTTCTGTTGTTGTGTTACCGCACCAACCCCACTCGCTGCAGCCAAACTGCAGTCGGTGGTGGCTGAGGGCGGAGCTAGTAGTCACAGCCGGCTGCAGCGCTGCATGAGGAGGGCCCGCAGCCTGCAGCAGCGCATGCAGCTGCAGCAGCAGAAGCAGCGGTGCGACTCAGAAGCAGAAAAACAGCAACCAGAGCAACAACACGAGGAGGAGCAGAAGCTCCAGGAACAGCCCAGGTACCACCTGCACTCTGCTCAGATAGTAAGATCCCAGGCAGCTGTGGTACTTTGGGGTCAGGTGCAGGTCATGTTGGAGTTGAGGAGGACTCAATATTTACAGTCAGTTTTCAAAGAAAGTTCAACTACCTTTGGCTCTGTGGTTTAATCACAACATAATAACAGTTATCTTGTTTTTAGCATAGTTTTTCCGCATAAGTTTGATTAATGGTGACACGGTGGAATCTGTTGTGTGCTTTGGTGCACTTGAGTTTAGATTGGGGTCATTTTAAATCCTGGTAAATACCAGAGCATCTTTATTAAGTCCTGGTGTGTAAAACCGCAAAACTGACAGATGGTGGACTTTTTTTTTTTTTTTTAATAACGGTACCTTCATAAATTTACTGAACTGCTGCTCCGTTAGTGATTTTGCTGATAAAGGTCTAAATAAGATCTATGTATTTATGAGTCCAGCTGCAATCGTTATTTAGTTGTAAAAGATTATCTCAGAGTTTATAAATCTGATGTTGAGCCACAAACATGTCATTACAACATCTCACCTTTGGCTGACAGTGCCGTTTCCTTTTGAACCAGCCTTTATTGGCTCTTTAATTTCACTCTCTGTAGATTTCTGACTAGGATTAAACAGATGTCCAGATGTTTCATCAGTTTATATAATTTTATCTTTTCTGTGTCTCTGCAGTGAAAAGCCTTTCAGAGTACTTCTGACAGACGCTCAGGGCAACCATTCACCTGCCACTCAGGACCCTCAGGCCCTGCCTCCTTCCACCTGCCTCGTTAAGCCCCTCCCTCCCAAACTGACCTTGGTTTCTGAGCCCCCCTCCAGTCCTCTGGCCTCTCCATCTGGAGAGGACAGAAGGAACAGGAGCCCCTGCTCTCGCTTACTAAAGCCCCTTTGTACCTCCAAGTCCCTCCCCGTTCTGTGTGGTGAGACCTCCCTGGAAGACTTGGCCCCTCCCCCTCTAACAGAGGAGGAGCGGTCAGTCCAGTCACAAGCCACACCCACTATCAGATCACAATCCCGAACTCCATCCTCTGTCAGCACCAGCAGATGTCATGTGATAACAGAGGTGGACTCGTATAGCACAAGACAGCCTAAGGCCACGCCCTCTGAATCTAGCCCCGCCCAGAGATTAGTCCCTCCCCCTTCTTCTCTCCCAACCAGAAAATGGTCCTGTTTAAACCTGGACCAGTCTGATGTTGTGGATTCTCTGAATCCATCTATCAGCTCACCCTTTTACTCCCCCCCAGACTCCCCCTACAGTGCCCCCCCTGTGACCCAGCCCAGTCAGACCTCCTCCCTGCCCCCCAACGGGGACTACAGATCAGCCCTGCCGGTGGAGCGCTGGGCAGAAAATGTCAATAGATACTACGGCTCCCAGAATGCAGCAGGAGGGGGAGGAGGTTGTGGGGAGCCCGTTGGAGAGCTGTCTGAGCTGGAAACATTGTACCAAGCCAGTCTCTTGGCTCCCAGCATGCACCGGGGCACTCGTGGAGTCAGTCCTCAGCCAGCTGGTAGCAGACCAGGTACGACCTGCAGAACAAGAAAAGCTGCACATTAAAACAGTCTGTCAAATGGATAAAGAGGCTCCAGTAGAACAATATATTGTTGAAATAGAAACCTGATCTAGGATCAAATAAGTCTTAATTTGGGTCCGATCCAGATTCTAGTGCACCTTCTGGGGACCTGCAAAACAGATAATAAGATAATTAACTGAATTGATGCAAACAGACCTGCTGATGTCACATCTTGCACTAAACGTAATGTTGTGTTTCTCTAGGTGTGAGAAGAGTGCCGTCCGGATCTGGACGCTCTAAAACACCGACAGCTGAGATTGAAAGATTTGCCTACAGAACTCCAGTCACACCTGTGCAAAAGGTACGACTATTATTAGTCTCCTATTATGATGACAGTGTTAGTTGTGCATTTCAATGAGATTAATGTTCATTAATTTGATTTGTGGTGGTTTAAACTCATCTGTTTCCTCTGCAGCCACCGCTGGCTGAAGACGAAAGCTACAGTGCAGAGAACCTGCGACGCCTCGCTCGCAGTCTGAGTGGATCGGTCATTGGGTTGAGACCACAAAACCCTCCACGCAGCTGTGTAGGTCTCCTTTCACACACGCACACACGTACACACATACACACACACATACACACACACACACACACACACACACACACACACACACACACACACACACACACACAGTGTGGGTCTTAAAACACGTCTTGAAACAAAACTCCTCTAACCCTGAGGATCCAGCTGTACAGGTCAAACACACCCAGGTTCTAAAGGCTCTGAAGTACATTTATGACTTCCACCATCATCCTGAAGAGTCCAGACGTGACATACATGACATAACATGACATATCAACAGACTCAGGAAAGCCAGGCTGGACCGTCACCCCCTCAAAGCTGGTCCACAGGGATCTGATGGAGAGCATCTTCTCCAGCAGCCTCCTCTCTGGCACCTCTGTGGTCCGGCAGAAAGTTGTCAAAACAGCAGAAAAAAAATCAGGATTGATATATTCAAAGACTCCACCCTCCTCACTTTCACTTGAAGAACAAAAACACTTCATCCAACCTGAGGAAGAGTAGAGCAGACGCATCATAACACACAAAGCAGGTTTCATGTTTGTTCCTGTTGCAGTCAGACTGATGATAAACCAGTAATCATTCTGGATGACCAAACACTCGGTGAAATACCTTCCTTTAATTACTCTTATTTCTGTATTCCTGTTTCTCTATTTTTATATTTAAAGAGATCCCCGATTAGTTGTAAAATTAGACTTGAATTGATAAACAATTATTTTAACTGTAAAATAAAGACTGTAAAAATACTGTAGGCTGTTTAGTTTTGTAAATTTTTAAAATATATTTTAGCACGGATGGAGCCATTTTATTTACACCCAAAGCATTCTGGGTAAATGATGACGTGGATAGGTCCTTGGTGTGAGCGAGCTATATCCACCCTGAAGGTTAATCTTGGACAATATCTGATGATCGACTCTTTTAAATGAAACCAGAGAGCGTTGACAGAGAGGAGAAGGTAGAAATGACTCAGTCTGCAACTGAAAATATGGATGGAGGACAACAGAGCTGCTTCATGCAAGAAGAACCTCAGCTTAGCCTGTTAGCCTTCGCGCTAGCGCTGACACTATATTGCCTTATATGTACTTGCTCGGCACTAACGCGACAAACAAGCTAAACCGAGGTCCTCCATCCATATTTTCAGTTACAGGCTGAGTCATTTTTGTGTTCCCCTCTCTGTCATGTGGATGGTGGACCTCGGTGACGAGAAGAGAATGTGTAGCGCTGAGCTAATACATATATATATATGGTGATAGTATCGGGGCTAATGCTAAAGCTAACAGGCTAAGCTGAGGTTCTTCTTCCATGAAACAGCTCTGTTGTCCTCCATCTATATTTTCAGTTACAGGCTGAGTCATTTCTACCTTCTCCTCTCTGTCAACGCTCTCTGGTTTCATTTAAAAGAGTCGATCATCAGATATTGTCCAAGATTAACCTTCAGGGTGGATATAGCTCRCWAGCAGCCTCGCACCGATGACCTATCCACGTCATCATTTACCCAGAATGCTTTGTGTGTAAATAAAATGGCCCCGTCCGTGTAATGTTTTTAAACTTTTAGTTTAAAAATGATAAAAACTAAACAGCCTACAGTATTTTTACAGTCTTTATTTTACAGTTAAAATATATGTTAATTAAATAAAGTCTAACATTACAACTAATCGGGGATCCCTTTAAAACCTTTATATGCTTATACATTTTTTATGTTTGATAAAAACTGTGCATGAGAACTCCTAAACTCCTGTGTGAAAGTGCAGATAAAAGCTTTATGTGCTCTTCAGACGAAGCATTCTGCTGCCACCTGGTACTCATTTCTTCTTACTGCAGCTCGCTTCCTTTTCTGATTTAAGCAACAGCAACTGCAAGTTCCACAAACCTATCAGAACCTGTGGAGGTTTTATAAAAGCCAGTTTAGCTTTGAGTTTCTAGTAAGTCAGAGGAGACTTTTAACTTGTCCTTCGATATTAGTTATTGTGATTTATCGCACACCTAAATACAATGACATTTTTAATTCTGAATTTTCTGATTTCTTGTCTTGCCTCATCCCTCACTGTGATAAGATTTTAATAGTAGGAGATTTTAACATTCACTTGTACTGTGATGGTAAACCTCTAGTCAAAGACTTCTTGAACATTCTTGATTCTCTAAACCTCAAACAATGTGTGACTGGACCTACACGAAATGGTCACACCCTGGACCTCATCTTAAGTTATGGTCTGAATGTATCATTGTCTGCTAACTCTATTTTACCAATTTTAGATCATTCTGTACTTTTATTTGATGTTTTTATTCACTCATCTCAGGCATCTGTGCAGGATAAGTCACCTCTTAGGGCATCACGTCACATAAGTCCTGCTGCTCTGGTTTTATTTAATTCTCATCTACCTGATGTCCTGGACTCTGCCTTCGATAATGAACTTTGTGTCAACCGTCTGACTCTTAATTTTAATGCTGCACTTCTGGAAATGTTGGACTCATTTGCTCCTATAAGGATTCTAAAATGTCCCAAAAAGAATCCAACACCTTGTCTGAATGAAGAACAAATGACTTTGAGAAGAAACTGCAGAAAAGCTGAGCGTTCATGGAGATGTTCCAGGCTAGAAGTTTTTCTGCAGGCTTGGAAGGACGCTTTGCTCTCTCTCCAACAATCTATGTCTTCTGCCAAAGCTACTTACTTTTCTAACCTCATTACAGTCAATAAGCACAATTCTAAAGTTCTATTCAACACTGTCTCACAACTCACTGAGAGCAAACAAACCACCTGTAGTTCCTGTCTGACAGCTCAGGATTTTTTGGTCTTTTGTGACCGAGCTGACTTGCTGAGAAATCTGATTACTCCTTCTACTGGTGGTTCATTTGACCTTCCTGTTGTTTCATCTGCTGTCCTTGCTAAAGGGTTTTCTCATTTTTATGCTATTTCTTTGTTGAGCTTGACTAAAATTGTTAATGCAGCTCGTTCTACAACTTGTCCTTTAGATCCTTTACCTGCTTGGGCCATTAAGGAGCTGTGGTTGACTTTAGGACCTTATATTCTGGTTTTACTAAATATGTCCTTAACTACTGGTCTTTTTCCTGTCTGTTTTAAATCAGCTATGGTTGTACCTATTTTAAAGAAGTCTGGACTTGATGTCGACTCTGTTGCTAATTACAGACCCATCTCACAACTCTCATTTCTTTCTAARATCTTTGAAAAAGTTGTCTCACAGCAACTCATCAACTATCTGTCTGCTAATAACCTGTTCGAGTCACTTCAATCTGCATTTAGATCTAACCACTCTACTGAGACCACTTTAACTAAAGTGGTGAATGACTTATGCTGCGTTCACACCGAACGCGATTTCAGCTTCAAAATCGCATCCAACGCTTCAAGTTGGACGCTTGTGCACTTTGAGGTCAGACGCAGGTCAGCTCTTGAAGCGCTCGTACGGCAAGAGCCTCCCCGCCCCTCCCTCCTCTGTTGGGCTCTGTTTAATGTCGGACGAGGAAGTGGCTTTGCTTTATTTACAGAGAGCAAGAGCGTGTCACGTTCATCAGATAATTAATTCATAATTAATTCACCAGATAATTCAGAGACATTCTGAGTTTCATCACCCAGGAGCTGCGGGAGAGGCTCACAGCTCGCTTTCAGGACTATTTATGTCCCGAGTCCAGTCTGATGAGCCGCTGCCACGCGTTGGTGAGGATATCTCTGTCAGGACACCGACTGCAGGCACTCGATTTCAGCTAAAGAGCTCCTCTCCATCTGTTTCAGGTTAGTGGACATCATTCAGTAAACTGTCCCGTCTGGAAATATGTCTCTACGTCACACAGTGGAGTCTCTCTGATTGGTTGACGCGGCACGTCGAGCTGCAAAAGTTCAGATTTTCTAACTTCAGCGATTTGTGCATCAAGCACGTCGAACACTCAGATCGTTCAAATCGCGCTGCTCTAATCGCGCTTGAGGCGCCGCAGCACTTCCCGACGCTGCTTGAAGCGTGTCCACCATAGACTTTGCATGTAAACCTGATGCTCCTGATGCTGAAATCGCGTTTGGTGTGAACGCACCATTACTGGTAAATGCTGATAATGATCATCCTTCAATTCTATTGCTATTAGATCTAAGCGCCGCTTTTGACAGTGTTGATCATTGTATCTTACTGGATAGACTTGAACATGTTATTGGAATCACTGGTAATGTCCTTTCATGGCTGAGATCATATCTAACTGGCAGATCTCTGACTGTTTCTTTTAAAAACAAGCTCTCTGAGACCTGCGCTGTGAAGCATGGGGTCCCTCAGGGATCTGTGCTGGGCCCCCTACTGTTTTCACTTTATCTTTTGCCTCTTGGTTTTCTCCTGCATTCATTTAATGTCACTTTCCACTGCTACGCTGATGATTTACAGCTGTACATGCCCTTTAAAGTTGGAAACTCTGTCAATTTGCCTAAATTGGAGGCCCGTCTATCATCTATTAGGGGTTGGCTATCTAACAATTTCCTGCTTCTTAACGTTGATAAGACTGACTTACTCATCATTGGACCAAAGAAGTTCCATGGCTTGTCTCAAGCTTTCACCCTGCAAATTGATAATCAGATCATTAGATGCCAAGAAAAAGTTAGAAACCTAGGCGTGTGGTTTGATCCTGAGCTTTCTTTTGACTTCCACTTAAAGGAAGTAACTAGGATTGCCTTCTACCACCTCAGGAACATCGCCAAAATCTGGCACATCCTTTCTTTTGATGACGCTGAGGTCCTTATTCACGCTTTCGTGACCTCACACATCGATTATTGTAATTCCCTCCTTTCCAGACTACCCAAGAAAAGTTTTAGATGTCTGCAGATGGTCCAGAATGCAGCTGTCCGTATTTTAACTCATACTGGGAAATTTGACCACATCACTCCTGTACTGTTTTCCCTTCACTGGTTGCCTTGTCAGATTCAGGCTGATTTTAAGGTGCTTTTGCTCACCTATAAGGCTTTAAATGGTCTTGCGCCTCTGTATCTTACCAGCATTTTACATCCCTATGTTCCACCATGCTCTGTCAGATCTGAAGGTACTGGCCTATTAATAATCCCAAAAGCCAGAAGAAAGACCATCGGTGAACGTGCCTTCTCTTTTCGTGCCCCCTTTCTGTGGAACAGTCTCCCTCAGGACATCAGACAGGCTTGTTCTGTTGAGGTTCTTAAAGCTAAGCTAAAAACGCACCTGTTTAAACTATTTTACTAGTCTTAATTTTATCTTTTGTTTTTATTATCACTGCCTTCCCATCTCCTGTGATTTTATCGCTTGTTTTCTGAGTTTTTATTTGTTCTTTGTGATCTCATTTTTTACTTGGTGACTTTGCCTTTTTCATGTGTGATTTTATCTCTTGTCCAGTGCTTTGTTTGAAAGCGCTTTACAAGTAAAGTTATTATTATTATTATTATTATTATTATTATTATTATTATTATTGGCATCAAGCAGAGAAAACACGTCAGGAGATTGAAACTACTAACACTGGGTTAAGAACTGTCCAATGCATTATTAAAAACTGGAAAGATAGTGGACCCATCATCTTACAGGATGCACCCATCATAGTGCCTGCTGTACAGCCTGTGGGGGCAGTGCTGATCTGGGGCTGCTGCAGTCGGTCAGATCTAGGAAGCTTATCAGAATAACACCACAGCAAATGTATGCTGTAATCAAAAATAAAGGTGGTCCAACAAAATATTAGTGTGTGACCTTTTTTTTTTGTTGGTAGCAACTTTTATTTTGGTCAGGCAGTGTACATTCAAACTCCACTTTATTCTGGATTGGTTTGTCTTTATTAGTGGTTAAAAAATCTTAAACCATGAGCAGCAGAAAGCTAATAAGATGGATATATTTTTTATTTATTTACAGTGCTTTTAGTAGAAAATGTGACAAATAAAAAGAGCCTTTACTCCCAGTTTAAAGAGAATCTGAGCTCAGACACAGTGGTTGTTTGGGTGTGTGCTCTCAGCTCTTGGCGACTGAAGAGGAAAACAGATAGTAGAAGAGGCACACTGAGTGAAAAAAATCATTCCTATGTTTTGATGTAGAAACTATTTAAAAAGTGTAAAGAACAGAAAAGTTTGTTTGCATAAATTTTGGAAAGCTTCGACGGTCCAAACGTTATAATGAACACTCATGGTCACACAAATTAGACTGATTTTGTAGAAAGTGTTCATATCAAAAGGCAAGTATAGATATAAGTGACCTCTTTAAAATTTGACTGATGTTTCTGTTGTGAAGTTTGTTTTATTGAGCTTCAAAGGAGGCAGTTTTTTTATATTTAAGTATCTGAATCCCATTATTTCTGATGGGGGGAACCAATTAGCAATTTGCTAATTTTGTTTTTTGTACAATGCATTAACAAGTCGTATGCCATTCCTGATTGAGCTGTATGTTTAGCTTTTTGTTTGAGTTAAACCAAAGCTGAGGAAGAAGTAACAATTTGTAAATACAGAGCTTTTGATAATTATGCATCATCTTTATTAAATACATTACTATGAAGATTTAAATATGAGAAGGAGGTGTAGCTGAACGATCACAGGTAGCGATGAGGTGAAATCAGTGTCTGGTATCAGATCAGACGTTTCTCACCTCTGCTGCTTCCTTCATCTCATATTCAGCCCTCAGCGTTCGCCTCAGGCTGCCACATTAAACATTTATCAGCAGTTTAGTTCCTCCATTAGACTTTACCCTGAAATCAGCTCGATCTGAACCGACACCTGAGCTTTGTCTCCAGAATCCTGATGTTTCACTGCAGCCTGAGCAGGTCAGGGTTATTGATACGGAGGTCCAGAGAGACTGAAATCTTTCAGAAACAAAGATTTCATCACTTTTTGTGATTTTCATCGTTTTTGTTTGTTTTCCCTCATCGTGTTAATTTGTTACCTCTCCATCTTCTTTTCACTCCGACTTCACTCTTCCTCCACTCATCATTTTGAAGGACCCCTCCCTGTCCAGACCCCCCTCCAGACACCCAGACCTTCACTCCTCCTCCTCACTTCCCCCACGTCACCACAGCACCTCCTCGTCTTCCTCCTCCTCCTTCACAGCAGATCACTCCTTCCACCAGCCCCGACACCACGGCCCCCCAGCTCCACTGCACCCTCACTTGCAGCCACCACGGCCCCCCAGCTCGGGGCCCTCCTCCTGGGGACACTCAGGTAACCTGCAGACCTCTCACTGCCACCTTCACCTCCTCATTTCTCCTTCAGGAGGTCTGACACTCCCTTCATGTCTTTCTTTTGATTGTTTTAGTTTATGGATTCAGAGTTACAGCTTTCGAGCTGCTGGAGATTTTCTGCCAAAACTTTCTGTTGGAGTGAAAAACAACAAATCTGAAAGTGACAAAACAAACAAGGACCTGCATTTCTTAAAGGAACTATTACCCACTGCCTTTAAGCTAGAGTTTTAAGATGCATGAGTTCCAACAGTTAGGATTGTTGTGAGATTTTACATATTGTTAGCACCAGGGTTATTGTAGTTAACTAAAACTAACTAAATAATGAAAACAGAAATTGAAAAACAAACGTTTTAGTTAACTAAAATAAATAAAAACTATTAAAATGAAAAAAAAGATAAACTAAAACTGTATAATCTTTTTACAAAACTAACTAAAACTAACTGAAATTAAAAATAAAATATCCTTAGTTTTAGTGTTTGTCAATTTATTTTGAAAAGTGGATCTTTTTTTTTTAATTGAGTAGTTTCACATTAGCTGTGGGCAGCTTACAGCATCTCATGGTCCATAACAACACTTGTTAACAATCTGCTGCTGTTCAGCATCACCTGCTAAATGATCACAACAAAAGTTGGGAGAAAGCGGCAACGTCCACTTTGGGATTTCTTTGAAAATGACTGTGAGAAAAATAAAAGCAAACGTCTTGTAGTGGAAACAGGTGATAAAATAGGTGGAATACTTCTGTGAAAAACTGCATCAAGCTCACACAAGATGGCTAACTATGACTATCTTGATACACTAGCTTCTCAGCTCACGTGAAAAACAACCAGCAGGTAGCACCAGGTTGGAGACAACTATTGTCATTGTCCTAAAATAATCACCCAAGTTTTAAGTTGGCAAAATTGAATTACACAATTATTTTAGGAAGGTGTCGCTATAATGGACGCTTTAACTCGTGACCAAATAGCTGTTGGTCAGTTAACTCACAGTAACACCTCAAGCTGAAGGATGCATTGGCAAATATGTTTATTCAAACTATAAAAAAACTAATACTTGAACTAATAAAAACTAAATTAAAACTAAGCATTAAAAATGCAGTAATAACTAATAAAAACTAGCAAATTCACGCTAAAAACAAATTAAAACTAACTGAATTAAAAGAAAAAAGTCACAACGAAATCAAACAAAACTATAATGAAAAATCCAAAACTATTATAACCTTGGTTAGCACTCATGTCGAATAAAACGCAGAAAACCAATTAAGTTCTCAGTTAAATGTTTATTTTCTGTGAGATCTAAACAAAATGGCTCCAAATCTCAAGTTCTCATAATACTTATAGAAACCCTGGCCACACCCCCCGGGGGTTGTCCCTCTTACATTAGCACTGGAATGCCTGAAAGGTTAATGTTTACACTGCTGGAGCGACGCACATGTTAAATAGAGATTTATTTATTTTCTTACAGTTTAAAGTAAATACAGTAACTACAACCGATTGCTACATATATGACTAAAATTCAGTTAATCAACCACAAAATATCCAACACTTAGTCTTTGAAAAGACTCCCAGCTACTACCACACCACATGTTAGCTTAAATAGTGCAGTAACTCTGAAATGATATTTTGTCAGATACCTTCAGTCGTGACATCACTCATACGTTACCCAGAGTGGAAGAAAAGGATAAAATCTTCATCCAGGCTAGGCAAAAGAGGGTCTGTTTTTTCTTTTTAATTTTTCAGGATTATAAAACAACCTTCCAAAACCAGCATGTCAGTGTGAAACAAAACGACATTAGTTAATATTAAACCTCAACACTTTAATATGACGCTGTTTGTTTAGTTTGTTGCTGTTTTCTCACCTGAACATCTGTGTGAAGCATCAATAAATACTGACAGCAGGGGTCCAGTCCTGGTCCTCGAGGACCACTGTCCTGCAGGTTTCACTTGTTCCTCTGCTCCTAACACCAGTGTTAGGAGCATAAAATAAAACTAGAAACAGGCGTGTTCAGGTACCCCATGTATAAACCTCTCTGCTGATGTAAAGTTAATTCAGGAGAAGGTTCATTGTTTGTAACAGATTTTTTCTCCTTCTCTGTCTACCCACCTCCTCCTTCTCTCTCTGTGTTTTTCCTCTCTGTTCTCTCCCCCAGGACCTCCACGGCCCCCCCAGCAGCACTTTCTGGTTGTGTCTGACAGGAGTCCAGCTGCCTCAGGTCTCCACAGCGTCGCCCTGAATTACGGCACTCTTCCCAGAGCTCCTCCTCGGCACGCTCTGCCTCCCTCCTCCACCTCCTCTCTCCCCAGACCCAGAACTGGTCCCGGTCCTGGTCCCCCTCCTCTTCCCGCTCCACAGAATCTCTACGCCACCCTCGGCCCCCCTCGCCGCTCCACGAACACCTCCAGCACCAACAGACACCACTCGGACGGCGGTCTGCCTGGTAGAGTCAACGGGAGCTCCGCCTACGCTCCGCAGCCCCTCCGAGGGTCAGGAGAGCCCGCCAAGCCGCTCCGCCTGGACGTCCCGCCTGAAACCGACTGGCGCCTTGAGTCTGACGTCAGGACGGGTCAGTTCAGCTCCGCTCGACGTCAGCAGCCGCTCCAACGGACCGACAGAGGCCCCTACAGGGCCCCCCAGCTCTGCTCGCTCTGCCTGCAGACCCCCGTGGAGCCGTCTTGTCCGTACTGCCTGTCCTGCAGAGCTCATGTGGCCCGCTTCCATCTGCACAGCACATAGTGACGTTTGTTCCCCTGCAGCAGTGGAGGAGGACCTCTAATACCAGCTGGTCCAACACAAACAGGTTGTTTCTAACTGGACTTTAAAAGCACATTCAGATCTGTGCTGGAGATGATGCAGCTGATACATGAGCAGGAAGCTGCTGTCCTCCTGCATCACAAACGTCGTGACGGTTCCAGTTTATTGATGATTACGTTGATGATTACGATGAACGTTACAGAACGGAGTTTAATTAAAGATATCTTTATGAGCTGCAGGCGTTACACCCATTCACTGACAAAAAACAAAACATTTATTTGAGTTAACATCCTGGAGTTTTTCCATTGACTGGACTGTTACGGTTGGAGGATAGAGGCTGGCTGTATTCAGAGGGGCGTTTCCTAAATGTCTCAAAACTTTCCTGAGGGTTAGAGTTTCACTCCTGTGGCGCAGGGATTTTGAGCCTGTTCAACAATTTTGTGTGACTTATTTTTTCTCCAACTAGTTGTTGAGTCAGTTGAGTTTAGTAATTCTAGAGCAGCAGAGCTGTAGTTTAACCTCTGCATGAATGTTGTGTTTGAGAGGCTCCACACTGATGATAAATATAAATGATTATTGAGCTGATTTAATCTGATTATTAAAGCTGTTATCTGACTATGTGCAGATGAGAAAATACACAACTATTCTTTTGAATCACACTGAATGACATGTTTGAAGTGAAATTTGAGCCAGTTTGAGAATATGCAAACATGCTGAGGAGAAAGTGCAGCACCGGTGCTCTAGAATTAAAGAAGCTGAACTGATCAGGATTAGAGATGTTTGTGACGACTCTGTGACTATTGTCAGAGCGAACTTGGAGCAACAAAAATGTGATTCACGCAAGGAAATTGAAAATCAAACTGCAGCAGCGTTTCATTTCCCCTGAACAAGATAAGAAAGGGTGAAATTTCCCTTAGAAAGCTCATTTATAGGTAATTATTTTATTTGTACTTCTTGAAAGTAGAACCACAGCTGCTAGTGTTTGAAGAATACTTTATATAATTTATATTCATGGTTCCCAAACTCGGGTCTTTAGTGCTGATTGTTTTCAAACTAGTTGTTTTTCTGCTCCAACACACCTGAACCAAATTAATGAATCTCAGCAAGTCATAAAGTTCTGCAGAGTTCTGTTCGAGCCGTTCATTAAGATCAGGTGAAACCTGCAGACCAGGGCTCCACGAGGTTCAGAGTTAATGACCACTGGTTTGTACGTCAGGCTTGATGACATCATTGTGTCTCACTGCATTATTGGCTTGTTAGCTGGGGGTCCAGGTGGAGGATCGATATCGTTTTCATTGCTGCGGTAGTGTAGCGCTACGTTGCTAATGCTAGGTCCTAGCCACTTATCCCGTTGTCACAATCTGTGCTGGCTCTAAATAACAAACGGTGGTTAGCCTGGGGGGTGAGTGGCCTGCTGTAACGCTGTAATCCACCGGAGTAAACCCTAAAGTCACTGCTACATTCTGTAAATGAAGATTTGAAGAAAAGCAGCAACATACAAACTATGTGAACCAGTAAGAGTCAATACCTGAAAAAACTGATCAGTTTTGTTTTGTTTGTTTGTTGTTTATTTGAACAAAGGTTATGTCTGTTTGCTTACAGGAAGTGGGCGGGGCTTGTAAGGGGACCAGATCAGTGGACGATGTTTGTCGAGTTCTGGCTTCAGCTTCTGGGTTCATGTCAGAATCTTATCAATAGTCTTTGATTCAGAGCACAGAACGTACACAGATAAAACAGGGTCTAAACCACCTCAGAAGGTGGTCTGGGGGTTGATTTCTTCTTTATCACTGTGTCTCCACCCTGAACCTCAACACCAGCTTAAGGCCCTGTTACAGTATAATGTTTTACACAACTACCAACATATGAAAAGTTTACACTAAAGATGTCTGAGTTGAAGATGGAATTTAAAAACATCTAGAAGCCTCTTTTGGACCTCTACATACTGTACTGCTAACAGATCAGATATACAGCCCACATGAGTACAGTAGTCAAAACAAAAGGTTCATAAGTCAGTCTAAGTACATGTTGACTGTCACTGCTCAGTTCATCAGTACGTTCAGAAAACACCCAGAATGCATCTGCGGCTCGGCTTGTTTTGTGAAAGTGCCTTAAGACACCAGCCAAAAGCAGAGCTTTACGCAGTGTGTGATGATGTCATCAAGTCTGAGAAGAAAAGCAATAACTACAAATGATCACAGTTCTCCTGCAACAAATTCTTAACAGGAGAATAAGAGTGACTTTCAGTTTGGAAACTGCAGGATTTAACCTCAGCAAAACAAGAAAATTTAAATTCCACAATTCATTGGCTGGGTATTTTTTATTTATTTTATTTTATTTTTTAATTGACCAAAACCTTGAGTGTAATAATTTAATGTTTAGGATTTTCTAGTGGATGAAAACAATCCTTTTTGAGTTTTAAAGCAAAGCCCAGTTAAAGTGAATGTAACCAGTTATTTCAGTTTTGACAACCTGAGCAGCATCAGGGACTGCTCAAGGTTCAGACAGATGTTGAGGTTTTTTTTCCTTCAAAAGATCTGAAGTTCAGCGTGAATTTAAAAAAAAAAAGACTTTCGTTCAGTATTTCTAAAATCCCAGGCAGCTGTCTGTAGTTTGGTCGTCTCTGACAGATGGTTTAAAATGTTTGGATTCAGTTTACGGTGTCTCACAGGAAGGAAGTAAAAACCTGCGAGCCTCTTTCACTGATGCTGAACTGCTCTGCTGTTTCTGGGGTCAGAGGCTGTGCAGCTGATCAGACGGCAGACTAACCCTCACAGCTGCAGGAAATGAAGGAGGAGGACTTCCTGTGTGCAGTTTGAATAGAAACGTGTTTGTTTTTGTCGCCCCCTGGCTCTGCGTTGTGTGTAGATGATCTCAGCTGGATTTACTCCACCATAGAGCTCGTCAGATGTTTGTTTTTTCTCGCGTATTGTTTGAGACGTGCCGCCTTCTTTAGATTCAAACTGAAGCTTTTCTTTAAGAGAGTCGCAGCTAATATTTAGCATGATGTTTATCCTAGCCTTGGTGTTTTATTCTAATGCAGACTTTAGCGCAGTGACTCCACTGCATCCAGCTCTAATTTAGTGCACTTCACAAGTGTTGGAGGTAGATTTGTTTTTATCATTCGCTTCCTGCTTTATATTTTTACTCTTCTCCTCAAATCTATCGTTTGTTCTGGGAGTAGCTTCTACTCAGACGATACAGGAACTCTGGTTAAAAACAAAAAAAAACATTGCTCAGACTCCGCCCACCTCCAGGTGAGCTGACCCAGGTCTGACCTGACGAGTTATAGATTCTAATCCAGACTTTCTCTCTGTCAAAGTTTGTGTTTCAGATTAGAACTAAGGACAAAATGTCCACAAGTCAAAGAAAAAGAAGTGATTTCTCCATCATTTAGAGTTCCTCCTGCTTTGCCAGATATTCAGTTGAGTTTTGGTATATTTTTGATGCATATTTTTCTACAGTGTACACTTGACAGAGTTGATAAGAATAAAATGTTTAAAGCCTGAAGTGTGATGACTGTACTCTGTTTTTCACGTTTGTCAGTTTTCCAGTATTTTGAATGGAGAAAAAGCGTAGCATTTCTCAGTTTGCATACAAAGACATAGTCATGGACAGTGTTGTTTAAAGTACCTCAAAGTGATACTTTAGTAAAAGTACAAGTACCTTATAAATTACTTTGGTAAAAGTTAAAGCCTCCTCTAAGAATATTACTTGAGTAAAAGTCCTAAAGTATCTGATTACATTGTACTTAAGTATCAAAAGTAAAAGTATTGAGTACAAGTGAGTGGTAAGATTTTCCAGAATTACATAAATATACATTTATTGGGAGGTGATCTCAAAAAAAAAATTTAAAACAGGTGTGCAGCTGTGATGGACTGTGTATTCTGAGTCAGAATGGTAAATATTTAGAGTAGCAGACAGCAGAACGGGGCGGGGTCGTACATCTGACTCCCCCCTGAACTCTAAAATTAACCACGCCCAATGTCGACGTTCCGACAAGCTGTGACCACGCCCACAATTAAATTCACTTTATCCAGGTGCAGTTTATCAGTGAAGCTAACTCTGGTTAGCTGTGCACACCACTGTCCAAGATCATATAGGTTAGAACTCAAAATCTGAAATAATTTCTCCAGTTTGTACTTGTACTATAAAGTAATACTTGGAGTTTTAGTGCAAAGGAAACAACTAGCTGCACAATTTATTCAGAATTAAAAGTGAAGTACAGTGTCAACCCCGCCAACGCTTCTCACTTTCTTGATTGAGTAAATGTGTTGATTTTTCTTAATCTTTCCAACATTTATTAAAAAAGGACAAAGACAAGAAGCCGCCTTCCAGCACCATCGATGAATATTTAAACCTGTTATTTAAAACATTGTGATTTTCACCTGTTTGAGGGGTTAATTTGGATGTTTAGATTCATTTCTCCTTTCAGCAGCAGAGTCATGACAGTCTTTATGAGGGGTCGTCTGGTGAAGTGATAAAAGCCTGTGTAAGGGTTTATTCTTACACTTCTTGTAACAAGGTTATAAGACTAATTTAATTAGCAAGGGATCTCTTTTTATTTTGGGTAAAAGTGCAAAAATGAATGGACACAATAAGTAACTCAGTCAGTAAATGTTGATTTGAAACATAATATGCGATCATTTATTTTACAAATCATACAAAATTGACTATAGAGTACACCTGATTGTGAACAATTAATTTCCTATAAAAGGTTTGGGGCCAACAATAACAAGCTTTTAACTTCTTAATTGTTAACCACACTTAAATAGAAACACAAACGTCAGATTAGATGTTAAATACCAGACATTTGAGGCTGTTTATCTTAGGAGTTGGCAAGGAAGAGGTTAAGAAAAAAGGAGGAAGAAAGATGTTAACTTTTATCTTAAATAATGTGAGGTTTAACCAGAAGGGCGAAGCGTTCTGTGCTCAGCTTTGGTCAGACCTCGACGTCACACACAGCCAGCTTTTACCTTGAGATGATGTTCTGTCACCTGCCAGGTAGGTGGGGGCGCTGCTGGAGAATCTGTCTTTAGACCGTCAAACAGGGGACCCCAAGGCGTGCTCTTTGACTCGTTTAACATCCACGTCAGCCGTAACCAGAAGACAAGGCCTCGACTGGAACCCAGGTTTCAGAATAAAACCTCTGTCTGGAGAGTTTCTGAAGGTGGATAAACCAGGTGTGGTTTTCCACACTGTGAGGTTTCCCCGTTGGCGTGAAGGGGCCAAACCTGACACAGTTTTCAGCTTTTGATTCCCTGGAGAGAATCTAGCTGTCACAGTGACTGACGGTGGTCAGTCACCTTTTTTCACTCTCTTTCTTTTCTCTGAACTAGACGGGCAGAAACTGTTAGTTCCTAAAAGCTTAGAGAATCTATGGTCCGCCCTCCAGAAGGTTAGATTAGAAAAAGAAATTATCAAGGAAAGTGTTAGTTTCAGAACTGGCTGTGCCCTCCCGAAACTAAAACAAAGATTATTGCTGCTGCTGTGTGGTTCAGAACAACACATTTCATGACCCATTTAAATTATCTGATGAGCACTTATTTAAAACATAACTGAAAGAAAAATGAATTGCTTCAAGTTCAAAACATTTGCAAATATGATTCAGACAAGTAAAACATTGATATTTCATCAACTTAAACCNGTAAAACATTGATATTTCATCAACTTAAACCATAAAGATTATTTTAGTTAAATAAGAATTTTTCCCACAGAAAAACCATACATAGCTGAAATCATACTGAGGGAGAAAAGAGATCTGTCCTCTTTTCTCCTGTAACTTTGATCAACATTCTCTGATTATCAAAATGTGTAATACTTTCTGTTAAGAGAACACTAAATCAAATAAGAGAAGATAATTCTGTTTTTATCTGATTTAGAAGGGGAGTGGCCTTGGGTGGCCTAAATACAGTTCTAAGTGGAACAGAGTTTTTGTCTATTCGAAGGCCCATCAGAGGACTGAGAGTCCAAGACAGTTCCTTGATAATTTGACTCGAGGTGACCCCTACACCTGAAAAGTTAGTGGTTTCTCTAGACTTGGTGAAACCCCAGAACCTAAGAAAGAAAAAAGAAAAGCAGTGGGATAGTAGCAGCGGTACTCCTGTGAGCGTTAACAGCATCACCCCAGGTCAGCCGGTCCACGTCTCCAGGGGAGGGTCAGGACTCTGAATTCCTCAAACAGGTCAGTTAACAGGAAGTGGTCCTGTGAAGGAAAATAAAATTGTTGCCCATGTATTTATATTTTGACGGTGTTTCAGGCATGTTTTACTCATAAAATATACTACATATGCATCGTCACATTATTCTGAATTGTTTTAACTCATGTTGTAAGTTTCCAGCAGGGCACCTTTAATGTGTGTTTTCTTGTTCTTCAAGCTTTAACTTCACACACTGCTGTGGTTTCTGCACAACTGGATTGCAGATCTATTTATTTTGTTACTACTGGAATGTGAACATGTAGTGACAATGAAATAGGGAGTAAAACCACATTTTAAGGTGTTTTTCTCTGTTGAAGGACCACAGAACAGGATTTTAACTGAAACTAGAAATATTTTCTGCTCAGATAAGAACCACTCCTTGCATGTCAAATAGGACCTGGTTCTGAACTGGTTTCTACTGGAAGAGTATAAAAGATGCTTCACTTGGGCTGTGTCCTCAGACTCAACTTGTAATGCTGTATGCATGTTGACTCTCATTTTATTGGAATAAAATTACTCAGAGACCACTGTAGTGAAGAACTTTTTTGTTCATGTATTTCTGCATTTTGTTAAAACAGACATGGAAAAGTGTGTATGTAAAAATCAGATGTATGATGTACAACAACTAAATGAGACAAACATCATCAAAGCCTTTTTTTATACAGTTAAAGTTTCTTTATTATTTGTGTTTTGTTTGTATGTATAATAGATTAAAAATATTACAGTTACAAGTTCATGGTTACAAATCACAAGTTCACTGGTACAAATTTCAAATCGTTTTAAAGTTACAAGTTCTGTTATACAAAACACAAATAATAAAGAAACAATATTAACTGCATAAAATTACTCCAGTAAAAGTAAAAAGTACAGCGTGGTAAAAAATATTTCTAAAAGTACATTTTTTCCAAAAACTTACTCAAGTAAATGTAACTAGTTACTATCTACCAGTAACTCTGACTAGCAGTAAACTTCTAGTGCCATTTTATTAGTTTATAAAAGTACATTTTTACTGAAAGTAACATTTTAGTTTGCTGTCACTATGAATACATTTCTAGTTCACTATTCAGTATATAAAAATACATTTTCCATCATATACCCACTTCTTCTGTTCCGAGTCACTTGTACCCATATCCAGCCCTCACAGTGGGTGGGGTCTGCACTGGACAGGTCTCCAGTTCATCACAGGGACACAAAGAGACACACAACCATTCACTCTCTCACTCCTAGGGACAATTTATGAACAGTTAACCTAACAGTCATATCTGTGGGAGGAAGCCAGAGTACCTGGAGAAAACTCACACATGCACGGAGAGAAAAATCCCTGACTGGGATTTGATCTGGCAACCTTCTTGCTGAGAGGTAATAGTTCTACCAACTGAGCCACGCTACATTTTCCTGTACACTCTACTTTTAATCCTGAGTGGAAAGTATTGTCCATMGTCTTCTTTACAGCAGTTCACTTGTTTTTATTGCATTTGTTCCTAAAACTGACAAAAATGTAAATTATGTTTTGTTTGAATATATTCTGGGGATAAAAGGGGCAGACAGAAGACTCTTCTGCTACCTTTTTTTAGATTTTTGATTTGTGTATTTTCTTTGTTTTCTATTGTATGTTCTGTATTTATTCATGTTAATATGATCTCATGTATAATACGACCCCCACTTTTTTGAGTTTAAAAAGCATAAAAAATTTCATCCTCAAACAACCTCCAGTTTCATCNATTAACCAGTCCACATTAACCAGTCCACACTAATCTGTCCACACTAACCAGTCCACATTAACCAGTCCACATTAACCAGTCCACATTAACCAGTCCACATTAACCTGTCCACACTAACCTGTCTACACTAACCTGTCTACACTAACCTGTCCACACTAACCTGTCCACATTAACCTGTCCACACTAACCTGTCCACATTAACCAGTCCACACTAATCTGTCCACACTAACCAGTCCACACTAATCTGTCCACACTAACCTGTCCACACTAACCAGTCCGCACTAATCTGTCTACACTAACCAGTCCACACTAACCTGTCCACACTAACCTGTCTACACTAACCTGTCCACACTAATCTGTCCACACTAACCAGTCCACACTAATCTGTCTACACTAACCTGTCCACACTAATCTGTCTACACTAACCTGTCCACACTAACCAGTCCACACTAATCTGTCTACACTAACCAGTCCACACTAATCTGTCTACACTAACCTGTCCACACTAACCAGTCCACACTAATCTGTCTACACTAACCTGTCCACACTAA